ACAATTCAATACTGGCCATTACTTTATATAATTGTTTCACTCATATTTTATAGGGAATGTTTCAATAGTTGAATCTTTATAAAATTACAATTACTGAAAATTTAATATTAGTATAACACCTTTTCCTGCTTTTTTATTAACCATAATTCTAGACCAATAGAAAAACAAAAACATCTAAACTGATTCACAGATACTTGTTGGATTCACGTTTTAAAAAAAAATAAAAAAATACAATTTAGGTACCTGATAAAGTTATGATTATCATAACAGAAAAATAATAAATTTATTTTACACGTCATCATCATGTTGGAAGTTATTCCAAATTACATGTGATACTACATGATGCAAAATATTTACATACATATTATTTGGACATATATTTTTCTGTGATACATATGTATATGTATACAACTATTTATTCTCAACATACCTACTGGAATAGTGTTCTAATTCCATCATGTTTTCTTTTTCTTGTTTAGCCTGTAATTAAGTGCAATGATATTATTTCTTGAATAATAAAATTATGTTTATATATATATATATATATACAGATAAGAAAAGAGAGAGGAAAATTACAAAGTTGATAGAAAGATTAGTCCGATTAGCCATTCTTAAAACATATAACAACAAAATGGACAAACATTATTAGATAAAAGACAATTTTTTATGGGGAGAGTAGGACAGCAGTAAGTCTACGGACTTGCAAAGCTAAAATCCGGGGTTCGATTCCTTGCAGTGGACACAGCAGATAGCCTAATGTGGCTTTGCTCTAAAACAAAATCAAAATTCAAAAAAAAAAATCCAGTTTCTGAATGTTTGTATTCTTGATAAAAAAATAAAAAATTAAATTACTTGTAAACATTAAATGAACATAAGCTAAATATTTTTGTGAAAACTTAATCATTATATTTTTTATGGTGTTTTCTAGCACTAGAAACCACAAATGTTTAATACTTACAATAGTTTCTTTCAGACGTCTTTCTTCTCCTCTTATCCTTTCTTCTGACTTTATTTCCAATCCTCTGATGTGTTCTTCCAGAGAATGGATTCTGAAAAATCAATCAATATTAGGACTTGAAAGATCGTGCTGGATTCATTTCGGTGCAGGAAGAAGATACTTGAAACTGGATTGATCCAAAATGAACTACATCACATTAACAACTGCAAGGTACTCGTTTTATGATTACCTGTGCATTAAAGCCTTTCCATCATGACTCATCCCTACAGAAGTCTTTATGGAGAAAACAATATTTATGTTATTTGTTGCAAGTTTTTCTGCTATAAACTTCTTTATATTCTCATCCCGGTAATGTATATTTTGTTACCAGGACTTCATAGTTAACATAAAGTCATGATTTGGCAAGTTCCCAATCCTACACACATGTATATATATTTTAGTTCTTGTTTTCAGAGCTACAAGTCTGTAAACAAATGTTGTGAAGTAGAACATTCTTTTGTCATTACTAACAATTTATCCTATAATTCTAACAGGAAGCTTAGGGTGGATCTCGTTTTTCCTGTTGTTCCAAACCTGCTAGTGTTGACATTTCTGTCATTTGCAGAGCACATGTAATAATAAGTATAAATATATATTTGTAAAACAGATTATCTTTTTTCTTTATTTAAGCTCTGCTTTTACTATTAAATGGAAGATGGATTTCAATTAAATAAAATATAGTTTTCCCATTTGTGCAAACTGGTAATGAAATTCTACTATTTCAATCTTGTATTGCGCATAAAGCTCGCCTAAATTCTTTAATTGATACTCAAAGTAACGACTGTACCTTTCTCCAGTAAACACTGACTTATCTTAATGTAGAGCAATATGAAAACATTTGCTTTCAAGAAAACGTTTAAAGACCACATTTTTTCAATTTGAAGATAAAAAAAAACAAGCAAAAATAAAAATATTTAACTTTGTAGTACAGAGCTCTATTACAGCAGTTGGGACAGCAGTAAATATACGGACTTAACAACGCTAAAACACAGTGCATATAGCCGATTGCATCGTGTCTCAACTCGAAGAAGATAACACGTTATGTTTAGTGAGAGTATTTGAAGTTAGTTCTGCTGTATTGCTGGAAGGAAAGGCTACACTTCCATTCTTTAACCCAATGAATTAAATTCTACGTTTATATACAAATTTTAGTTATAAAAGTTATCTCACCTCCTGAATCTCTAATTTTCTATTCCATTCGGTCTCATTTCATAATAAAAACTTACTTTCAAATCTTTTCAACACACAAAAAGTCGAACAACTCAAGCCACTGCGATCCATAAACTTGTATCTTCATTACGTCGCACAGGTGTGGAAACAGTACTCGTAGTATGTCAGACTGGTTGCCATAGCAACAGCATTATAAACAATATGAGCTCACGCGACAACGGCAACACTTTGTGAAATGATTTCAGCCACTATTTCAGATGGTATATGTACAGGATGACGCTATATATTTTTTTGCTATTGGCTGCCCTAGCTTACTCACTGAACAATGACGATTAGCAACCAACAGGTTTCGCAGACATATTGCGTCACGTTTGGACTAAAAACGTTCTATTCAGAAACGCGTGGCCCACTCCACTGTAATACAGGTTTGACCGAAGAAAAAGGTCTCTGAACATTGTAAGGCGTTTTATATTGAAGCGGTTCAAACTAACGCCTTCTTTCGTGTTAACACCAACACACTAATAACTTAAGTATAAGCGTTGGAAACGGGAAGGGGAAGTCACTTACCTCCAATAAATAAATTGGAGCCCGAATATATTTCGCCCCCTATATTTTCCTGACAACAATTTTTCGTTTGGCCTTTTCTATGCAGTAGGCTAACTTTGCAATTGTGTGAAACTGTTGAATAATATTTTAAAACGTTATTGTTGTTTGTCAGACAATGTTATACATTTTATACGCTTCTTCGTGCCTAAAGAAACAAAAATATAAATAAATACTAATCATGGAACAGGTGTAAATATATCTTGACCGCACCGCACCCTTCATACTATTTTGTTCAGAATGACGTCATTACCAAATATGGTAACTGAATTTAGCGTGTTATTGTGTGAGTTTATTCACAGGGTATTATCTTTTATCAGTTAATTGTTAAATACGACTCAAAAAATGTTTGTAAATATTACGTAAATAATTACGTCAAGTACAAAAATGATTTCGTTTAATTTCTGCTCCTGTGAATTATTTGAAAAAACTTAAATAAAATGTTCTCATTTTACCTTTACTAAATAAAATCAAGACGGTCTTGTAAAGCTTCTGGATGAGCGTATAATGTTGTTTCACATCGTACAACAAACTGTGAGACAAGCAGAATTAAAAACAACCTGTCCAGTGTTGTGTTGAATAATTCTTATTCTTCAATAACCCATGAATGACATTATAAGTATGTGTGGCTGGCGTTCTAACTGCGTTTACATCTCACAATACTGACAATCCTGGTTTATTGTACAGAAATTGGAAACGTTTCATAAGAAATCACGTCACGCAACACAGATAGTTCTGATCAGGATACAGATATCAGACATTTTTATAACAAATCACTTTACACGACACAGATAGTTCTAATCAGGATACAGGTATCAGAGATTTTTTGTAACAAATGTGACGTATTTATTATTATATATTTATTTTAATATCAACGTTTGTTTAGATTAAGTTTATATTTTTAAACATGCGTAGCTTATAGTGTTAAATATGTATTGCGAACCTCCCGCCTATTCTCTAAAGTTGTAGAAGATTCTTGTTTGTTTGTAATTAAGCACAAAGCTACACAATGGGCTATCTGTGCTCTGCCCACCACGGGTATCGAAACCCGGTTTCTAGCGTTGTAAGTCCGCAGACATACCGCTGTGCCACTGGGGGCTAAGAAGATTCTTGAGTGTAAGAATCAACAATATTTGTATGTACGTAAACGCTTAATGTAGCTTTGTATTGTTACGTAATCTAAATTTTCTAGAAACTCTCTACACGCCTATAAATATAACCAACGCGACGCGCCAAAAAAGAGAGTATCTATTACTAGTTTGCTATTGTCAGTGTGCTATAAACTTCGGAAGCTATAATTGCGATTATTATAACGCTTATGAATCGGTAAACTCCAGATATTTGGCCAGGAGCAGTTACAAAGTTCGAACATTACAAATCATTTAACTTCAGTTATATAACTTCATCATTCTAATAGTTCTGATCAGGATACAGGTATCAGATTTTTTAACAAATCACTTCACACAACACAGATAGTTCTGATCAGGATACAGGTATCAGATTTTTTTAACAAATCACTTCACACAACACAGATAGTTCTCATCAGGATACAGATATCAGAGATTTTTTTTTACAACAAATCACTTCACACGACACAGATAGTTCTGATCAGGATACAGATATCAGAGATTTTTTATAACAAATCACTACACACGGCACAGATAGTTCTGATCAGGATACAGGTATCAGATTTTTTTTAACGAATCACTTCACACAACACAGATAGCTCTCATCAGGATACAGAT